TCTCTCCAGGAACTTTGTGTCTGAACATGAAAGTTGAAGCAGGGGGAAGTAATCACAGGTATAGTGATCAATGATATTGGAGCCACAATAATTAAGCTGTAGAAGTAACATCAATGCAGGAAAGATGATTAGGAAAGAAACCAGCCAGGAGGCAAAGACAAGCATTGTGCAGACCTTCTGACTCATGATGGTTAGGTAGTGCAGAGGCTTGCAAATGGCAACATAACGGTCATAGGACATGGCAGCTAGAAGGTAAAATTCAGTAACTCCCAAGAGGATGAAAAAAAATAACTGAGCTATACAATTGTTGAAGGAAATGGTTTTATCCCCAGAGATAATGGTGCCTAAAAACTTGGGTATAGTGACAGTTGTGAAAGATACTTCTAAACCAGAGAAATTCCTGAGGAAGAAATACATGGGGGTCTGGAGGTGAGAATCCAGCAAGGTGAGAGTGATGATGGTCACATTCCCTGTGATGCTGAGTGTGTAGGTGATGAAGAGAAAGACGAAGATCACAACCTGGAGCTTTGGGTCATCAGACAATCCCAGAAGAATAAACTCTGTGGTTTCTGTATGGTTGCTCATTCTGCAGTTACTTTTTATTCCTTCTGCCAAATCTAGACACAAAATCAGAAAGAATTAAAGTAGAACTGAGGATTCATGAAAACCCAAACTAGGGGCTGTCATATTGTTCCATTAGAATGCTGTTTCCATCAGTAGGGGAATTTTAAAGCTCTTCAATATTAATGATTCTTTAATTAGGTTTCTTTTTACAGAGAACAACTTCACATCCAAGGCAGTTTGAAAGACAGTTTGGAATCAAAAGTGTAATGCAATACCTCTCATCTCAATGAGCAAGGAAATATGAAAAATATTCTCTTGGGAGTTGTAGAGAGTAAACATTTAAGACATTTTATTAGTGATGTTGACTTAGTACAACTAGTGTGAGAACAGATTAGAAGTTCCCCAAATAAGGCATGAGGTCTTATTATATATTCCTTTGGCCGTGATCCAAGGTGATTAAATTGATACTATTAGAAACATGTTGTAACTTTTCATAGAAAGTGGAATGATCTTGCAACTAATATATATCCAGGAAATATTAAGGATTGTTGAATCTGAACCACTTACTTTCCTGAAAATAGTTTAACAGCGTTTGTTCCATTTTCACTTTTTGTAAATATACAGTTTCTTCTGCAGACAAGTCAATATTAAAGTACAAAAGTTGTGTCTTGACATATGTTAAGCATTTGAAAATTATATTTATTCGGTCATGATAATGACTATGTGTAGCTCAATGTAATGACAACCAAATCATGTTTTCTCTCGCCTTTATTTCCATGACATTAGCAGTAACACCTGGTGTCACCACACATAAAACCTTACATTCATTCCTGTCAATAGACTCCACCACACTGTCCTTTCCCATCAACTCCTAAGTGATGTAGTGAATTCACAGGATAAGATTTCATGATCAAAGCTATTTTAATATGTATCAAGCTTAGTGTAATGTTAGCTTAGAGGAAGATTTTGCCCAGTTAGTATTGACTTTCATTTATTCACTTGTTAGCATAATTCTCTTCTATATGGTGTTCTGTGCATGTGTATTATTTATTTTTTATCTTTGTATTATAATGTGAGTTTTCTCAATTATTGACTTTGTTCAATATGCATAAGCACTTGTTTCAAAATCTGTGTTTTGAAAATTTTTCAAATAAAATATATATAAGGGAATCTAGAACACACATATAAATTTTAATAAATTGTGAAATATTATTTTGACTTACTTTAGTGTTTCTTCAGTAGCATTATTCTTAATAGGTGTGAGTTTGATTGTGATTAATATTAAATGTTACTTTTTAAATATCTAGCTCAAAAAGTACCTCATCATCAAATAGATAAGATTTGATTCCTATGTTTAGGTGACATTCTTGCAGTAAAATAATGATATTAAGACTCATATTTAAAAATAGATACTAAAGTTAAAACAATTACAAGTAATTTCATATATATAGTATACTTCATGCTAGCCCTTTGACTGATCTCTCATAGCACAGCGTATTTTCAATACAAAACAAGTCCTTCATTGGGCATCATCCATATGTGAGTGTATGAGGATTGTTACAGAACTAGAAGAGCTGACATTTGAATAATAATTTTTATTTTTTGAGTTTCCCATATGCTGTAGCTCATTGTAAGTCCTATTAAAGCTAGTGTACTTTATCCCTAAATAGATTTTAATAATTTATACCATAGAGTATGAAAGACATTAGAAGTAAAATTACTATAATCATAATACTGAAATTTCTGATTTATTGACTGATTTAATATTTCTTAAACTGTAAGAGTAATATGCTGACACTTGAAAAGACTGAAAAACTTGCTTGCTCCCCCACTGGTATGCCATAATTCTAAAAAGTATAATTGTTGATGAATAAAATACTTTTTAGAATGAAAAAAATATGTAACTACATATTAGATTAGTGCTATTATGGATGTGAAAAATCCATCAGTGCATCGTATTTTATTCTCTTTTGGTTACATGTACTTTTCTTCTTATATATACTTTAATTTAAACTCTTACAGGTAACAATGTAACTATTCACTTCCCCCCTATGGATTAGAGCTGGAAATGAGCACAGGAAGCATTGTAAAGAAATGTATTAGTAGGTGTTGGGAAATGAGAACATCCCTCCTCCATTAACACTTCTGTACTAATCTTCAAAGTCCAGAAAAACAGGCTTAAGGAAACTACAAAGTTACTTATAAGTAGGTGATTTAATACCCAGCTTTAGAGCTGTTGTAATATATTTTTAAACTATAACATTTATAATATCTCAATGGGTTGGATTCTTTTGTCAATTAAATGGATTTGATACAAATTCTAAAAATTCATAGATTCCTAGACCAATAAATTATATCAATGATATATTTCACTTGAGAATAGAGGTTATTCCAAGAATTTAACTCATTTGTTTAGGTTCAGAATGTTAAATGGTTTAGGTTATTTAATTACTTAAAGTTTAATTAATTAATCAATTAATTTATATGAGTCCACTGTCTGCATATTTGCCTGCATGCCAGAGGGGTCTTCAGATCTCCTTATAGAAGGTTGTGAGCTTCCATGTGGTTGTTGAGAATTAAACTTAGGAACTCTGTAAGAACAGCCAGTGCTCTTAACCACAGAACAATCTTTCTAGGATGTAGGTTAGGTTACTATCATCTTTCTTCCAACCATTTTATCAGTATTACTTCTTTACTTACCTTCTAAGGAATCTGAACAATTCAAAATAAGAATGAACAATGATATTTGTTCATTATCATGATTATGATTAATTTTCTGGGTTTTCATTATAAAAATATCCTCAAATCATGCCCTTTCCAAGCTTCTCCAATGAAATAAATGACAATACTCTTAAAATGAACTAGGGAACCTATGGGCAATTTATATAAAATTCATGGGGGAAACTATATTGGAATGTATATTAGACTAAAAGGCTGAAGAATGCTCTTTTTAGAGATATGTTAGTGAGTTTGACTAATTGCAATTTATTTTTGGTATGTGTGTTTGAATATTGTTAGTAATATTACATGATGCAATTGATGATCATTTTCCTCCATGAGATATTGCCTTTGAAAGGGCAGCTTTTTCTCAGCTTTCTCTACGTTTATCTATTTTCCTTCAGTCAAATCTCGTTAAATAAAAGTTATTAGAAAATTTACACAGAGCACATCTCCATCCATATTTTATTGAGCACATTGTCTTAATTCTTTACACATTAAAATATTAGAGTTGTTTATAATTTTTGTGAATGGAGGGTAGGAAAGAATAGTTATTTATTTCTAATTGGGAGTAATATCTAGCTCAGCCTCAAGTCCAAAACTGTAAAAAATACCCTATTAACATGAAATTAAATACTAAGGATGTAGAGGGGATTTAGAGTGAGTTGGGAGAGGGGAAAGAATATGATCAAAATATATTGTGGGCAGAAGATTTAGAAACATGATTACAATAAGTAAGCAAAATACAAGAAAATTATTTTTTTATCAGTAGGCTCTCACTCTCTGGTCTGGATCATGTCACAAGGATTTATTTGAGACTTTTTTAAAATTTGTATTTAGCATACTTCTCAGTACTCATTGAATGGATAGACTTATTTTTAATAAATTATCTTTGTACTACTTTCACAGCTGTTTGTGTTTTCCTTCTCAGGAAAATACAAATAGAATAAATTAATTATTTTCAATAATAATGAAAAGGATCAACTTCCAACATTAGTAGTCATTTATATAGAGAAGAAAACTACGGAAAGGAGACTTTTGAGCTACATTTAATACTAAAACTCATAAGTGTTTGTGAAAATAAAAAAAGAAAATCTGATCTATTAAGAATAATAATATTAGTAGAGAAGAAAAAATGAATTGGAAGAGTAAGTTTCACAGAAATGTTAGAAAAGTAATCTGTAATACTTCATGAAAGTTTAAGTTACTTACCTACAGACTGTAAACTCATTTAAAATGAATTATGTATACTTCATTTAAAATGAATGAATTCTCAAATTTGACAGTATATTCATAATAGTAATAATTTATTAAGGGTATCACTCATTTCAGGGATCAAAGGGAGAATCAGATTTGGTGTTTTTCATTAATTTATACAAATGTCAAATGTCAGATATCAAGAGATTACTTACAATTAAAGACTACTTCTTCAAAAGAGCACTAAATGGCCTGTCAAATCCTGAATGAGAACTGTGGAGACAATGGATATTTGCTTTAAGCCAAAAGAAAATACATAAATTGACATAGGCAGCCATGCCACATTTCAAAATATAATTACAGTAAATCTTAAATTTTACAATGTTGAGCTCTGAACTGATGTTTAACTTTCATTGACTTCCACTTCCCTCTAAATGATCAACTTACCTATGATTATGTACAGCTTCTCAGAACAGCTAGAAGAGGTGATGCAGTGTCCATTGTTATTTCTTAAAAAACTTCCTTCCCCAGGAAACAAGTTTGGGATTTATTGTAAATGTTTTCATCCGTATTTTCTCATTTCATCCAAAGTGAGTTTATTTCTCTGAGTGCTGAGAGATAAGAAAGAATAAAGGTGGACATAGAAACAGTTTCTGAGATGTTTTAAAAATAATCATGGTTTGTTAATATATTTTATGTTGCATGGAATACTTAAAGTTTTATCCATTCACTCTGCAGCTGGCTCATGGGACCAATTCAGTGAGTAAAAATTGGCAGCAGAGGAATGTACACAAAACATCTGGGAATATCAACCATAATTGTATTAGTATCAAAACTGGAAAAAGAAGCTTGGTGACACTACACTGTCCAGTGAATCAGAGTAAGATCACTCAGAAAGAAGAAAATTTTGCTGATTTTTTTCATTAAGTTTAACATCTCTCTACATTTACATTTTTGACTACATTAAAACTCCTTACACTTTATGATCCTTTTATCTGTTCACTGAGTTTCTTAATGACAATGAATTAATGTTATAATATGTATGTCAATTATATTAGGATCATCTTTCTCAAGGAAGCCATAAGTGTACTGTCATGCCAATGTTG